GKWWTTTTTGCCCTCAKACGAGCGGARGCGAGGTAAGTACGCGCAGAAACACTTTGATATYTCCAAGGAGGTAAGACAAGTGAATAAATGAGGAAATAAATGAATGGATGGATGAAAATTAAATTTGGAAACGAATGGATGAAGCGAGGTAGGACAACACTTTCAATAACATATAACGATGAAGAAAATGGATAATGATAATAAGGGTATAGATGCAAATAGGAATAAAATATCTCTACCTTGATCTGTAACATCAGCATTGCCTCCAATATCTAACTCGGTGAGCCTACAATCCTTCATTGCAGCAGCTTCCACCAAGTTTCGCAGACCTTGATCACTAACACCACAACGTGAAATGTTTAGTTTAGCTGGACCTCCGCACTGAACCATCTTAGCAAGTTCTAAACATCCAGTATCATCAAGGTTGCTGTTGGACTTTAAATCAAGTGACCATTCCAAATCTGTTTCAAAGTGATTTAAGAAATAAACCACGGCCGCACAATCGATAGGCGTCATACTACAGCAGCGAAGCTCAACCCCTTTTTCTGCAAAGTGCCCATGTGAGGTAAAAGCACTTGCAATTCTCTTCGCGACTTCATCGTCGTTCAATTCATATAAACATGTTAGCATAAGTATTGCGTTGCAACCTTCTGTACTTCCTGGTAATGGTTCTGTCATCAAACTCTCAATAAGGATGTCCTCAATAACTTCAGTTACCTCGTTATACAAGGGATGGCTGCGTTGAAGTAATCCGGCTATAAACTGAATCACAACATGCCAGTTTGCATCTTCTGCTTTGGCTTTGATAAAAGTTTCCAGATCGTGAGTTTCAACTTTCTCATCAATCAGGTATTTGGCGGATAGAAACTCTTGTATAGTAAGATGAATAAAGCAATACTGGGATGGAGGTCTTTGAAATAATTCAAGAAAATTCTTCTTTCCGCTTGAATGTCGAGGCATACAATGAAGAAGTCCACAACTGTCCAGGCAGCTGACTTCATCTTCTTCAAAGATCAATCGTCCGTCTTCGAGACCCTTGTAAGCTACCTCTCCAAGCTCAGCTAAAGGTTTTTGTAGCGTTTCGGAAAACGTACAACTGTCCGTCGACTTCCGCTTTGTCTGTTCCTTTCCTCGATAATGATTGGATAAGAATATCTCAAGAGCCTGTTGATATACTTCAGTAAGCCTCGTGAATGAGTTAGTTGTCGATTCCTGGCAAGTGTTTTCATTTTTCATGTGATGATCTAGTAAAATGCATACAATTTTGCAGGTGACAGGAATGTAGCACAGATAACGGAGATTGATGTTGGAATGGATCTGTTGCCACATGGTTTCAGCTTTAGCGGAGTCACCGCCGCAATACGTTTTTACATAGGAATGTACTTTATCAGGAGTAAATCCTAATATTTCTAGTTCTCTACCGTTACAATTGTTGCCACAGAAAAGTTTCCATATGCCGGCCGTTTCAACCACATTGGGTCTAGTGGTTAAGACTATCTTTGCTCCAGGAAGAAGTTTGTTTTGTAAAAGTTTGACCAGGAAGGCGGAAACAGGGATTTCATTACTTACATCATTTCCAGCGCAGTTTTCTGCTTCAATCAAACAGCTGTCATGAGCATGAAACTCGTCAAAACCGTCAAATATGATTAAGACTTTGCTAGCATTGTTCACAATATATTGCAAATCCACATCTCCTGATTTCAAATCTGCTTTTTTTAGAAAATGCTCCAGCGTCATTTTTGTTGTTAACTCAGAATTCAGCTGTCGAAATCGAAACAAAAATACAGAAGTGAATTCCTGCAATAGTTGGCCTCGTAATGATTCCCGTAAAAGCATAGTGCATAGTAACGATTTTCCAATTCCTGGACGACCGACAACAAGAACCTTTAAAATCGAGTCATCAAAGAAATCTGCATGCTTTCCGATAACTGAGTTTTCAGGAATTCTAAGATGGACGTTTAAATTTTCATGCCGCTTAGCCTTCTCGAAGTGATGAATGACTCTTCCAGAATGAATGATCACGTCCACGTAGATATCATCTACCTCTTGTTTTTCGACCCTTTGGCCCGGTTCTCCAGTGTTTATCTCAATCAGAGCTTCCTCGAATTTCGTCTGTTCAAGAATTTGTGTTCGGTAAATCAGGACAGTTTTTTTCATGCGTAGAAGATACCTTTCACAAAACTCAGAGTCAGTTATGAAATGTTTTCCTGTCATGCAGACTTTATAAACAAGATACAAAAGTTCCGATTTGATTAACAATACAAGCGTTATCTGTACGCCAAACATCACGTTTACCCAAAATGACTTCTCTGACCCGACGGAATTATGGCAGTTTCCAATATCAACGTCGTATAAATTGGAATCTGTAATATTGTCTCTCTCGTCTCTTTTTCTCAAGAAATTTAATTCACACCGAAACTCTACCGGAAAACGTTGATGATAATGCATTTGAAGTATTATTGTGTGTATAATTCCTAGTACAAGGCGCATAAGCAACTGTGCGAGATAACAACTAAAGACTCGTTTCGTTGTTTTCCTTGGTACATAACTAGGGTTTTCTGGGTCAGGCTTGGAAGCCTTTTCAACTTCATCAGTTCGAGKTTTTATGTAACACCAGTACATGGCACAAACGAGCCAAGGCAAAAGCAAAGGCAAAAGTGAGAATGCATAGAACGTTAGTGGCGAATTGTAGATTTGCTCGTATTGGTGAAAGCATTTGGCTTCCAAGAACTTTTTATCTGGGAATCTATCACTATCAGCATGACAACTGAAATCCCGTCTTTCTATTGTCCTTAAAGTGTTGATTCGRGCAGAAAATATAATCGACGAAATGATCCCAATGGCAATTACAACCAAACCAAAGTAACTAAACTTCGTTGGAGTCAGAACAACAGCATCAGACTTACAAAATGCTTCCATTTCTAGATCAGATCATGAGAAATGATACCTTCCGCTTGATTAGAAGTTCTTGTTTTCTTGTAGATTTCCTGGTGATTTTCAGAACGAAACCCTTTTCATTCAATACTGCCTTTGTGATTTTCTGCACTTCAGCAAGTTTTTATGCGCATTTTGTTCAGTCTAATAATGATATGTTTATCTGCAGTAAACAAAACTCATCCAGCATTGAAACTACTGCCCTACGTATAAATGACCTTTCAAGAAAGCTGGTCAGTCTTGATATTCAATGACCACTGGCTAGCGAGGGGGGTACAGTAAGGGTGTCACATTCAAATAATCCTCTTCAGCAACATTCACATACATTCTCCTCCGCTGCATTCACATACATTCTCTACCACCGATCCACATAGTACATTCTCGACAGCCAATTAACTTTCGCATACATTCTCTACAGCCACTGATTCACGCCCGCCTCTACCGTCACATTCACGTAAGTTTTGTATACAGTATTTTACGAAATTTGTGGTTCGCATAACGTACAAGCCACGCAAACATAGAAAAAACAACTAGAATCGCAGATAAACAGTACTCCCGTCCTAAATAATTTGTGCTTTTCATAATTAAATAAATGGCCTAATCTCAACTTTATCTTGCACAATTAAATAAATTATAAAATGAAGCGATTTACCTTTTAATCAATATACAAATGTTATTATTTCCAGCCAATATTTCCATTGTTTGTTATCATTTTATTTTATTGCATTTAGTATTCAWTTTCTTTGAAAGAACAATAGTCTTGTAAGTAATAAGTTTATTAAATTTGTTCTCAAATGTAAACTASCATCAAAATTACAAATGGTGAATTCATGCTTCATATTCTAGACTTTCGAAGACACGCTAGTTAAAAGATCTCAATCTATGAACAATGCCGTCCATTCATTAGTTATGAGAAGTGTCTTAAATGAAGTCTTTAAGAATGCATTCCCTTGTTCCCCCCAATTTTCTCAAGGCTGTTATTCTGGYATTTACTGGCTTTTGGCAACAGCGTTTGGTGCTGCAGCAGGRACAGGTGCGGSAGCAYTCTTAGACTTCTTGSAGCCACAACCACAACAGCAGCATGGGCAACAGTGACAACARTGGCAACAGTGGTGGCAGCAATCGCAACAACATGGGCARCAGCACTCATGGCAGCAGCAACAGCAACATGGCTCACAGCAACAGCAGCAACATGGTTCACAACAGCAACAGTGGTGACAACAACAATCGCCACATCGTTTGGATCCTTTYTTCTCTACACCCTTTTCATCTCCATTGTAGCTCTTTATTGGTGTGATCATAAGGGCGGGGAATCTAAACACGCGTTGCATTAGGGGTGATGCTTTCTTTTGGCTTGAACAGCCGCAGCTCTTCTTTTTGCCTTGCGCGGACTTGCACCTTTTCTCGACTCCGTGACCGTGTGAGCATTTTTGACATTTCTTTTTTCCTTCACAAGTAGATCTTCGTTTTTGTGCGCACTCTACTTTGCTTTGCTCTTCTTTACAATTGCAAGTGCGTTTTTCCACAGTTTTGCTTTTCTCGCAGATAATGTTGCATTTTTTTAGCTTTTCCGGATCGCAGTCAATTGGTGTATCATCTAAAAGGAAATGGAAACTCCTAAGTGAAGAAATTTGATCTTACTATTTCATGAAATATCCACAAGAGCCATAGCTAACTTTTTTTTTGGCGAGCATGTAAATCGTTTCGTCTATTCAAATCCATTTCGATCCGTCAATTTTACAAGGATATTGAAAAGAAGAGAGAGAGCTTGGCTTTCTAAACATTTCAACCTTTCAAACCAAAAACAGGAATCGTTGGAAAAGCCTTTGGGAAATATTAGGAAGTGGCAATGGCCAGGTTTTATTGACTGACATGATATTATTTATTGGCAGAGCCTCCCTGTGCAAATCTCTAAGCATTAAGTGTTTTATTTTGAGTGCTGGCCATCAGAAATGGAGTATTCCTTTAATACTTTTATCAAAGTGCAYATTTACCATCGCTTCCTGATCCAGAATCCTTTAAATCAGTTTCAGCTTCTTTGTTTGTTTTAGATTCCTGTTTCTTCGCATCTGAAATTATATTTTGTACCAAAAGTATAAGAATATTTTTTGCATCAGAATAACCAATCATTATTATAAAATCTGTTTCACGGGTCTATAGTGCCTTTATTCTATTATCACATCAATCTATGCATTCATTTTTCATACAATTCTTAATTGTTTTGATGATTCTTTGGCAATTGCCATTTTCTTTCGTGGCTTTGGATATGGTCAGCACAAATTTACAAAAATTTAYACAAATYAAATTTGAATTATCACAATAAAAACTATACAAGATRTATTAGAGCAAGTGGTAAAATACTCAGAGAGTGTAAAATGTGTGAGAACAAGTACTGTAAATATTATTATAATAAACGCCTAAATAAAGATAGTTCACGCATTTAGCAGTGCATCSGATAATACGTGTTGGGAAAAAAGAAATCTTTACCTCTCCTTATAGAGAGCAAACAAGGATTTCTTGTCTTGTAACTTTGGGTAATATCAAAAAATATGGCTTTAATTAATCTCACGAAAAAAAAACATTACGAAAATGGCGAAATAGAGTAAAAGAGAAAARACTTTTTAGTGTCAGATTTTAGTGTATTAATGTGTTTTGAAAATGCTTCATAATGTTAACAAGATCAGATTTCAAAGATTTAAACCGTTTTTTTACCTGTTTTAGCTACGGCTTTACTGTCCACTGCCAAACTGCAATACAAAAGTACCACACAAAAACCGACAATAATCTTGAAATCCATGATTACGATGGGACTGTGAGAAACCAAGGGCTCTTCCAAGTGACTTGTTTTCCCAAATATCAACCAAGAAATTAAATCATCGGTTGGTTGTTGTTAAAGATTAATCAGTTCATTCTATTTTTTCAGACAACATGTTTACATGGGATTGCGTTTTGAAGTATAGGTCAAGAGGTACCAGATGATCATAGGGTCATTACCTTGGGGTRAGGGGTGGGGTTCTCGTTGTAGAAACATATTTATAGCCATTGGGGTAGAAATTGAACGATATATGTTTATGGAAGCACAAAAATAAGGAATGACAGAGTTTAATTTTTAAGAAAGGTCCTTGCTATAGATGTTCAACATTTGGCATTTAAGGACATTATGAAGGAGCACTAAAATAAGAACTTGGTAATGATACAAAGACCTTGGAGAATAACAAAAATYAAGTGAAGAMAATAAATCATTCTGGAGTAAAAAAGAGTTTTCAAAGTGAATGGTTATGCATTGCATTTACACTTTGAGATAAAATAATCAATAGATGTATGTGGTAATGGCTATGGACTGCATGGTTCCTAATTAATTTCCCATAATAAAAAGTTTGCAAATAACAATCCCCCCTCCCTGCCAACCAACTGTCATATTACTTGTAATTGACTGATGTGTTGGTTTGCCCAAAGGTGAAGTTTACCAGTCAGGCTTATCAATAAATTTAGTTCAACCGCACCCACTCCTCCCCTATACACAGACTGAAAATACTCCCTCCCCCCCGCTTCTCCGCGATTTATCCCATGCGAGTGAACAGTGAAGTGGATTATCATAAGGTGAAAAATCTACCAGTAAACATTTTAATTAAGTATATAGATCATCAATTGGAACGAAAAAAGGGGAAAACAATAAATATCATATATTTTCCCTAACATTTACAGAAATAWTTAAAATGATTCAATGTGAAATTCCAAGTGAGAAACAATGCGATAAYTTGCTTGAATAATCTTCATTGAGGTAATATTGATTTACTGTCGAACCCTGCACGCATATGTGAATCAAACCGTTCAAGTTATTGATCCAGACCTGTACCTTTTCAAGTACATACCACCTTTGAAGTTTAGAAAATAGGAATAGTTGCAATTACCATTTAATCATTATTAGTCGAACACTTGATYAAAACATGAAATTCACGTACTTACACGTAATTGAGACTTACGCATTWTAAAAATAGAATAATACTTTTATCACAAAGGTGTTAGGAATAAGACTTCCAAAACGCCGCAAGAAATACTGTATAATTATAATTAACGTGTACTCATTGATATAGAAATMTATAGTTTTAGGTTTCTTCAGAAGGATGCTTTTTAAGAAAGCTCAAATGAGCAGGATTAGCGMGCTTTTAATGGGYCCAATKCGGGTAGTTCACRCGCAAATACCGCTGAATTACTCAGTAGCATGCGCGCTACCAATTAAACGCAAGAATTTTTCCTACTTATGATACGGTGCTGTAAATATTCCCAGATTTTCTTKTTTTCTTACATCTCTCTTAACATTTTCAGAAAAAGCAGGAAATATGATAAAAGTCCTGTTTAGTAATCAGTTCCATGGCTATATCACAAAAGAGTTGCATAGACTTTGGACTACGGTTTCAGAAAAATATGACATTGGGCATTTTATATGTTTCCATTCCCAAACAAATGCAAAACTAGAGAACATTCAAACAAAATTGAAAACCAAAAACCAAAGAAATTAAGACAAAAAATTAACAAAATAACACCGAACAATCAGGAAGACTGCAAAAGAACATCCTACGACATTGCCAAAACGCTAACGCACATTATATCCTTTTTACACAACAAGAAAAAGTTTCCACAAGGACTAATTGGGACTCATTCTTCTCAAGGATACATAACATAAGGTAAAATCACAGCTTTAGGAAAAGATTTCGAAATCGATTCTAAGTTCATATAGGTTTGAATATAATCCTGGCACAAGAACAAAAGAGAGAGCGAGGAAGTCCTCATTATTGATTCATAATTAATGAACAAGTTGCCCCTAAGCGGGTAATCAATAGACACTATTTCCAATGGTTCACTTGTTATACSTCTTTAGAGTCCGTTATACCCATATCAAAGCACATACAGTGCTTAAATTAAGAAATATAAAACGGCGCGCGTGTCTCTGTCCTTTGATATAAACACGGTGGGAGCTCGAAAAACACGAGAGAAGCAAGCTTAGGAACACGAGCGTTATACAGCCGTTTACAGCACGAGAAGAAAAACGTTTTAAAAGGAATGTCCTTCAAATTCCAGACATGGACCCCAGTTATATTATTTGTCGCTGGGATATATATCAGTAGCACTTATTGCGACCATAGCTCAAACCCTGAAGAAAATCAACTCCATGACAGAAATCCATCGGAAAAACATAGTGTTAAGACAGCTGTTGAAAAGCCATGTTTATATAGAGAGCACTCTACACCTAAGAAAACCCTTGCAAAAAGGTAAGAGTTTATATCAATAATAGATCAAATAGAAACTTTGGCTCCAACTTTATACTGGATTAAAAGGTGCTAATAAGTTTCTCCCATATATTTGTTATTAAGTGTTTATGATATCCACTCTCTATTTTAGGTCTGGATCTTCACCTGTTTATTCTAATAATATTATATTTATCCACGATAATATCATCAGGGGTTGTTTACACTTATCAAAAAAGCCTTTTAACTTAAAAACGTTTATGTATGTACCGGAATCTATTGTATTCTGGTTAGGGTCTTTGTATTAAGGGATATTGTATAGTTTTTGCTTTATGGTTTTAATATTGAATACGTCTTCTGTGTTCCGATACGTGCAGGAACCAATAAAAACATATTTTTAGTTTTAATAAATGTACTTTGCAGCACCAATGAACAAATAAACGAAGCAAGCAAAAATATTCATCTGAAATCAGTTCAAAACACCAATAATCATCCCATTCAAAACAATAAGGACCCTAAAGTACCAAAAACTAAACGTCCTCTGCATATACCATTGTACAAGATTCACCACACCAAAAAGGTGCCAGGTAGGTATTAATAATGTCCCCAGCGCAACTGCATTAACCTACTTTAATAGATACATTTTATGCCAAAAGATAGTGCGGAAATCAATATTTATAGAGTATTTACATTCATATAGTAAAATTTCAATACGATGGGCATGGGAACTGAATTCGTATTAATATGTAAATCGCTTATTTACTTACATTACTTTTCTAGTAATGTGATATAAAACACTGAGGTTTTGAGTAAATTGCAAGCAATGCTACAACGACCACTTTAGGATCGTAAGTGTTCGATGTAGAGAGGGTTTTGCACTCTCAGGACCGAGTCATATCATATCTATTACTGTTGCTTTTTTAGGTTCGCATTTAAATGATGAAGGTGGCTGTTGCGGATCTGAGTCTCCTCCACCACCACCGCCTCCTCCACCACCACCTCCGCCTCCTCCACCTTCGGCTTCTCCATCATGTTGCAATGGGCCATATTATATCATGCCTTGGTGGCCATACTGGCTTAATCAAATACTGAACAACCAGCAACCAGACGATTATAATTTTCCATACTGGGTCAATTAATGCAAAAAAAGTATAATGTACATTTTATATATAATTATTAGAAGGTACTAGTCGTGGTGTAATAGTGCATTGAATAATAAACAAAAAGATCATATTATAACAAGGGTTTATGGGGTTTATGACTTCACTCTGAAAATAAATTGACAAGTATACTTTTGTTATCTAAAAATCTTTGTATTCACTGTTCGGTTTGGACTCCTCTAGCAACAAGAACGTATATCAAATGCAATGATCTATTTATCAAGATCAGTCCCATTTTGATCTCTCTTGCCTTTCTTTTCTATGGTGAGTGTCATGTGCTTTTTTGGGCTTGTGCTTATCTTTACTTGGCCACTCCGGCCACTCCCATGGAAATGGATATCCGATCTGAGGATCTTTCTGTTCGGATGTTAAATTTGATTCCTTTGTTTTCTTCGGCTGGATATTATGTTTTTGAGAATATTCATCCTCTTGGTTCATTTGTTCACTTTCTTCTTCCTCTTCACTGAAACACACAAAAAGCAAAAAAWTWTTTAACAAATTCACTACTTTTAAAAATGGCGCATTATGTYATGRTCGCCRACCARGGCACTRAGKACGAAGCACTAAAACGAGSTCTCAAAGGCCAGCCTCCGTATARTAAACTTCGATGCTGTCTTGCAAGAGTGTTTTTGCTATAAATAACATACTAATACCTCTTTCAAACTTTTGGACACTACATACACGTGATCTAGATGGAAGGCCTTTGAGGTCTCGTTTTCATGATTCGTCACTAGTCCCCCGATATTGGCGGTCGTAAACTACCGCCATTTTTGAAAGTCGAGTAGTGCGCACTGTTTTGAATTGTATTCCGTCTCTATTGACACTCTTGACGTCACAAAATGTTCAAAACTTTGTAGTTGCTAAAATAAACCGTGTGCAATTTGTTTTTTTTATCACAGTTTAAGTCTAAAAATTAGAGAAAATCATTATTTTCTTTCACTTGAGCGCATGCGCGGGAATAAAGAAAATTTCACTGAGAAAGAGTTCACCAAATCAAAGAATCTGTTATAATTTGCGAGCCAATGCGAGTAAGGTAAAATGTCAATAAATAATTAGTAAATCTAACGTGTATCAACTTGCACTAAATTTCCTCTTTGTTTTCTTTTGTTTAATTAGATAGATAGAAAGCCGAAAATCATAATCGTGCCGCTACTATAACAATTTGAATACCTAAACATATACGTAAATTTTAAGTATATAACTTGGACCTTTATWTAATATCAATTGTTTCTATTTTTCCTTAAATTCATTCACAACCAAATATACTWCATCGTRTGYCCTCAAATTTATAATGAGCCTGGTTTACTGGGCCTTACGACCTCAAAACAGCGGCCTRAAGAAAGTATAARCCTCTGAAACCCAGGGTAYTGTCACTAAATTGGACCCTGTTGTCCGTAGAGCGATTTGAACAATGGATAAAAACGACTCAGTTACAGTTAATGTACTGGCTAAAKYYCAATAGTAAGTTTCAAGCTAAATGAAAAACCAAAARGACAACATATGAAAAATTACCAAATRCTCCAATAGTTGAGTTCAATCTTCAGCTGTTTGTGACAATTGGGTAAGTATCSCAAGGTAGACGTTCACTCACCTCGGAAAATCTTCARGGTCTCGTCCTGTATTCATAAGATCGTCATCGTTTGTGTTTGATTCAGGATCTGCTTCTCGTTCCCCAGACCCAATAGGTATACAATGGCAGACACTGATCAGCGATAGAAGTAGTAAAGCAATCCATAGATCACAACGTCCCATGGTTGGACTATTGAAATGTGTTCTACAGTTATTACGTGTAAATTAGAGTTATGTTTTGATGTTATTGTGTTTATTTTGATTCTMTTACATCAATCTCTTTGTTTAAGACCTGTTTCAAACACTAATGTTTATAAAAAAGACACAAAAAGCWATGATAACCTGCTGTTATGAAAAAGACAAGGTGAAAAAACACATGGCATCAAATGCAAAATATCGTTTTAAAAACTGTTAAAAAAGATGTTTTCTTAGGCCTCTGATTACACAAACAAAYATATATAACATATATCTAACTTTCTAGACTCAGGCATAATAGTTAACTKTCTGTACATCATTGGAAAAATAGATTAAATTGGAATTGGTCATTATACACCATGAAGTACCAGTGCGCGCGGTAAATTCAAACTTTCCCGAARGATTKCAGGTGAACRCACGCATAGTCATATTCCATAACAATTCTGACCACTGTGTTAACTAATATTGAAACATAAAGCGCTGGATGGTGTCAATACTTTTAACGACTTTTAATCCTCTTTTTGTACGKWAAAAATTGAAAGTTTTAATTATTATCATTTTTTATTGATTTCTTTTTTTCTGGAAAAACGTCCATGATTTACAGCGAGAGAGACTCTGCTTGCAGGGAAATTTAAGGTGCGCGTACATGATRTGCTGTCATATAATACACCGTTCTCAACCAAGCAGAGTAGACGTGTGGGTAGAATCGAAAAACTCAGAATTTCATATGAAGCGCTCGCGAAGGCGTACGTACCCTCTTAAATATCCTTGACTTTTATGATTAATAGTTTTAAGGTTATTTAAGGTCGTGTATTCCAATTAGGTTCGCAAATAATAACTTAAAGCCCAATTGAATCAAATCTACGAACCTTAGCATAGCCATGTGATTTTAGCAGGATCTGTATTCAGTSKTGRMAGGCATAGCCAGGTAGCTGTATTCATAGAATTGTATTATATTTTCCAATGAATAAACTTGCTACGCTTCTAACTTTTATAAAGCGATCGAAAACGACCGTGAACTAGACATTGTCTCAATGATGAAGACGTTTATAATATCAATTGGTGTTTTATCCGTTGTGGTTTTACATTGCTCAGCTTTACCATATAGYAAAAAGTACCAGGGTGGTCTGCTGCCAATCAAACGATTTCATCAGGTGAGGTGATTTGACTAATCGTTTGACAGGAATCCAGACAAAAGGGTAGSCTGTGAAGGAGACTATTGACTCCAGAACCGTCTATTACGTATTTTGTAGAGGATAGAGCATATAAATCTCTCAAAGATCCTGGACTTTGAATAAGCAAAGTCCGAAGTAAGGGCAAGGGCGCCACGACTTTGTACACTAGCAGACTTAATATACAAAGGCGGGACGTAATGTTTTCAGTTTTGCAATGAGGAYTGGACATGATTTCAWGTCCTGTGAACAATTATAAYGATTTTAATGATTTTTTAACACCTTTTTGTGACAAAAAATACCATATGATGAATATATTCTTACCTTTTAGGCCAGTTTAYGTTAAGACAGTTGATTTGTTTTGCAGCTCATGATTACCATGATTACGGTTGATACTGCTTAACAAGAAAACACAGATTTTCCTGMAGGAAAAACATATAATATTAGTTATCTTTCATTTTTGCTTTTTATTAGTCTWACTGAAAGTGAACGCCCATGGATCTATCTATATTGTGTGTAGACCTCAATTCTCATCCTTAAAACAATAATATGTTTCGATGTAATGTCATGGARAAACACCACGAYCTCTGCTCATCCTAAAGGTTTCATTATTAGGAAAGACGGATGTACAGAAGGAGTTTAKCAGGCTTGGRACCTTCGTTCTATATGTCAAGATTTGTACCACAAATGACCAGTTATGGCTRGTTTCCAGGAGATGGTGGCCAGTGCAATGGAGCATTTACTCCTCCACAATGGATTCCATGTAAGACCTTGTACAAACTGACGTGTTTTTATATTATTTTGCATAGTTCCACGTCTAAATCAACAATGCTTAAATGGTTTTCTTCGACGGAACTAAAGCTTTTTTGATACTAGTTTTTCACTTATTTATMCATATTTGTGACGGACAACATTGACATTAAACATAACGTACTCGACTWTCGACCAGACAGCCTACGAGTGATTTGAAGTGACTTTGTATAAGCGGGTTAAAATTTTAAAATTATTCAGAGTGCATCAGCATAGCCGTGTAAAAATTGCCAGTTATCGTACTTGGTTGTTTGTTTGTTTTTCTAGGCTGTTGCCCTGAAGAATGCAAAGGGGAAGGATGCGAGGAATCGACAGAAGACGGAGAAGAAAAGCCAAAGCCATCCCCAGCCCCGTCGTCACAATCTGACACACCTAAWGGAGGAATCTCAATTAAAGGGGGAACTGGAGGTAAAACCGGAACTGCYCCAGCAGCACCCCATCCAGAAACCGGAAGCAAAGCTGCATTAATAGACGCACCTAATCAACCACCACCAATCGCTTTACCAGTGACTRGAAAAGAGGCACAGGCTTCCCACATCGCTCCYCCTGCTACTGCTCGTGTCCAATCACCTCCTCCTTCGAACGTTGCGTAAAGACCGTAAAATACATGATATGTGATTAAAAAGGCCTCAGTATATTACCCTTTGTGTTAGTATTAAACACCAGAAGCCGGCTGTACGAAGTGTTATCCATGAACGGACTTAAACTTATCCAGCGAATAAAATCTATAGAAAATCTACGGAATGGCTTCATTCTAAGTACAACCGTGTCTAGRGTTTGAAATTTCTGCTCACAGCAGCTACTTAAATCAAACACAAATATAATAAGGCTTATAATTTAGATAAACAATGACTTAAATGAAGAATAAAACTTTTTTTTTAAATATTGAATGTGATCTAATATCATGAGTTACATGTAAACCTAATAACCAATTAACAATTTAAACAAAAAATATCAGTGATCACCTTATTTTTACAATCTGAAAATTTCAATRATTTACTGTTTTTAGCGTAAACAGATTTAGCCAGGCGCGGAATAATTATGAAATTTGTACTGATAATTCTGTGCGGTAAATATGTATGACGTCACAATCAGAGGTCAGTCACACAAATGCCCTAAGAAGGTATCAGTTTTGGAAAGACTTTCAAGCACACTAGTAAAATATTGAGCTTCTCATCTGTGGAAAAACTTGTATAAACGTCTAAAGGGGAAAAAAAGGTGATTTTAACGGAGAGCAGACAAAAAAAGGTAAGGTACTTTTCGGCCGAAAATAGACCAATTTCGCGGGCTGTTTTATGTTCATATATATAGATTACATGGTTTTTAACGATATACGTCGAGGTATCAAAATAACCCAGAAAAAGTTTGGCCAAATAATTTTCCGTAAAGTTAAAAATTAATATATACTTAAGATATATTTTATAAAAGCTTTTGTAATAYTACAACTACAACCGTAGTTAGAGTATGTCTTAGTAGAGAAGACATCAAATCCGTGAAACACAACTGAACTATCATGGTACACAGCTAGTCAAATAGACGCAAAAGAAAAAGAGGTAAACGGAATCAAGACCTGGTAGTTAGATATAAGGGGAAAACCCTACATTAAAGACTTGTCAAGTATGATTTGTATCATCTATTAACTATGTTTGTATTGAGCTATAGCATTATTTCATAGTACACTGATATTAAATGGTACAATATTTAGCATGCCCTATCACAGGTCTCTGTTCAAAGACTATAAAATGAAGGCACTGTTCGTTAACACAAAGGCATAACAACCCAATAGACACAAAATAAAGATCATAAGAATCGGCTTTCTTACCCGGGTTCTTAATATCTCTTTTGATACGAACGTACTTTAGAATAATAGAACGGATGAGGAAATATAATTCAAAGGTAGATGTGATTTAAGAAAATTCATRAGTTTAAGTGTTATTGTAATATAGTTATAATACGGCCCGTGATTTTTTAGCGGCACAATAAATGATCTTTATGCGTTCCAAAATATGAGGATCAGCTGCAAATTGTTTCCCGGGAAAATTATATTTGACATCTGGATTACTCTAATAACTTGCGTGACAYTTCCCTTTTAGTGACATGAGTCAAGGGAAATCGTCAATGAAAGATATAATTAAAAATAACAGCAAATATCTAATGCTTAGATATTTAGATTCAGCTAGAGGACTTGAAATCTAACAATTGAAATACAAATATTAACTTTGTCTAAACTTCGAATTCCTTGCGTTACATTGTGTCACATAATACGTAGTTAACTATTGATTTCAATTCTATCTGACGGTAACTAGTTTTGTTTTACTAAATAACATCCACTCTTGATAATGATAACATCGAGTGAAGAAACATGAAAGCTAGTTGCCGTCCATTGTAGTTAATTTTCATACTAAATGTCTTCAGCAAAAWACTTAGTTCGCCTTATATTTTTACCACAGAAAATCATGAGTCCAAGGGAAACGGATATAAGCGACGACGAAGAACCTCCCAGTTCAGAGAAGAAGAGTGCCAGTTGTGTYCATCAAGTTTCACTATTTTGGTACAAAGCATTTTACTTATTTTTCATTGGTGCATTTTGGATGAAGATCGTGTACYTACCGCTGTACTTCAAGCAGATTGGACTGCCGGCTCATTACGCTGGTGTTTTGGCGGGAATTTCGCCATTCCTTCGAGGCGCTGGCTCGTTTTCTCTTGGTCTTTTGGCGGAAAAACCAGAAACACGTAAGGTGATGCTACTTATGAGTCTTGTGGCGCAAATTGTAACACCATTGCTTTGCTTGATACCGCATCCTTACAATCCAAATGCTGGGAATATTACAACACATGGAGCCTTCATAGCAAATAAGACAAATGATTTCCCAATTGCACAAGATTCGCCGGCAGAAGACTACCTGAAAACCATTCAGAAATGCATTAAAGGTAATTATTGATCCTTGCACGCCAAAACAGTATATAAAAACCACGCTAGTCATGATGCTTGGACATTACAAATCAATYAAATATAAATTAAAGTGTATTTTACGATTATTGCAGAATTYTAATAATAAGTTCAATAGACCTAATCGGCTAGCGTGTTGCTATAAACGTTTTCACCCAATTCAGGCACCCGGGATTAAGTTTCATTGTTCGTTGTATTTTCATTTCACATTTGAATTCTAAGAAACAAAAGTTCATTTTCCCACAGGATTTGAATTGGGTGGGAACGTAAATGCAASGAGTTAGCCGATTAGGTCTATTCTTATCATCCTTTTTGAATGTGGAACAGCGCTAATGAAACTGGGGAGGGAGCGGAGGGTTGCAGGAGGTTTTTGCTAATAATTTTCAAATTTTGCTTTCGATTTCATCTAGGTAATTGCTTTGGATACCTGCTGACTGCCAACGATGATGAGTCACAGACATTTGTCCAACCATTAGTAACCAACATTAGCACCAAAGTCACMAATGCAACAGTTGCAAGGTCTCCATTGCTTGATATTGACCTGGACATGATTTCAACCTTCTGGATCATTGTTGCCATCGTAACGGTAGGGGAGTTTCTGGGGGGTCCTGCAAGAAGTCTTGCTGATGCGGCAACCTTGCAAGCCCTGGGTAAAGATAAGAATAAGTTTGGTTATGTGCGTCTGTGGGGTAATGTGGGTCAGTTTCTACTCACTATAATAACCTATGTCTTACTACGTTTTGAACACAAAACAGTTAACGGAATTGAAGAAGGRAATTACATGTTTGCTGTCATTGCGATAGCGTTCTGGATGGCTTTYGCCTTCCCAACAGCCCTGGGGTTTGTGTGCGACAAGAAGCAGATGCAATCCAAACTAATGGTTAAAGAAGACTCTGATGAAGAAACCGAAGATGTAGAAATAGYCGATGTACTTGTAAACTTCACGTCCCTGTCACTTCTTTTGATTACTTTTTGCATTGGTATGCTCAATGGTACTTTCAACACCTTTATGTTCTGGTTTGTCCTGGACATTGCTGGTAGTCAAGCTAACCTAATCATCACTATAGCTCTAGCRTTTAGAATTATCTTTATCATCCTGGCCTTTAGAGTCTCTGGTCCAGTCATTAATCGARTTGGTGTCATGAATGTAACACATATTTCCTTGATGTTATACTGTGGTATATATGTACTTTATGGAGTGATGAAAGATCCCTGGTTAGCTATTCTTCCRGAGGTTATGCAGAATGTTATAAAAGCTTTCACCGAAGTGTCTGTGATACTATACTTTGGTGAAATAACACCCTTTAAATATGCAGCCATTGTCCAAGGTAAGAATAAACCCATGGGGAGGGTGTGGCTTAAGTGTCAACACAGGTTGTTGATGGGAGGCGGATGGGTATTTATCAGTTSAGAGGTGTAAAAATAGGAACACACTACAAAGATGACAGGACATGATA